TATATTATAATTATATATATATATATATATATATATATATATATATATATATATTATCATCATCATCAAAGCCTTATCCTAATTATTTAGGGCCTGTTACACGAGTCTTGTTCCGTCATTCTGCTCTATCAAGGACCATACTCTTAGTAACAAGAAGTCCTCATATATTTTCTCACTATTTCCATCTACGTCCTTTTGGGCTTGCCTCCCACTTGAACCAAATCGCATCTCCTAACTGGTGCTTTATTGGGTCTGCGCTGAACATAGCCAGCCCACTGAGTCTACTTTCCCTCATCTTGTCAGCTATTGGAGCCATCACTAAGTTCCCTCAAATATATTCATTTTGAAATCTATCTTTTCTTGTCTTGCCACTCATCTATCTCAACATTCTCATCTCTACTAGACTCATCTCATGGGTATGTTGTATCTTGACCGCCCAACATTCTGTCCCGTAAAGTACAGCTAGTTTCACAGCTGTCCTATAGAACTTCCCCCTTCATCTTCATTGGTATGCAGCAATCACATAAAACTCAAGTTGCACATCTCCAATTCGCCCACCTACTTCTAATTTTATGTGCAACATCTTCTTCAATCTCTCCATTTTCTTGATTATTGACCCAAGATATTGAAGATACTCCCTTTGAAGTATTTCTTGGTCATCAATCTTAACTACTTCTTCGTTTCTACTCCTATTATTACTAAACTTGTAGTTTATATATTCTGTCTTAATTCGGCTAAGTTTAGAACATTTAAAATCTAGAGCATCCTTTTGAAGGCCTAACTTTGCATTGATATCACCTCTAGTCTCATCGATCAAAATTATGTCATCCGTTAACAACATACACCATGGTACCTGTAACGGATCTAATTGTTTTGCTTAGCACCATGCGCCTTGACTCTTAGCCTAGCTATTAAGGGTCAAGTTCAGCCTCTCCTCTAATGAGTGCCAAGTATAATCACATGCATCACACAAGCACAACAAAGTGTTAAGGGCCTAGCTCGTTATCCAAGTTGTACAATTGCTCATTATACTGCCATAGATGCCCTCAAAGGGTCTGAGCTAGGGTTCTTTATAAGCCCCATGTTACGACAGTTTTAAAATTCAAATGTATTCACTTGGTGGCCAGGCACTGTCTATAGCCCGGTCGGGGGTACTTGGTAGCTAGCCAGGTTGCCAATGTCATGAGCAGTTTACACATGACCAACCAACACCCTCAGGCCACGTCCTGCGGTGAGGCCAATGGCCGGTCAGCACGTTTCAACACCACAACCATTACCCACATCTTAACTGCCCATGCCCTAGCTGTTACACCCATGATGCTGCATCTCTTGTTCAGTTTGAATTTGAATTCAAGCATGG